TTGAGGTCCTTGAGTACTTCTTTAAAAAAAGGACAACTTTCTGCTGTTTCAGAACTCGAGTCATTTGAGCATAACCAAAAAATAAGACAAAACCATCTCAGGAAATGAACACGGTCTTTATACTTTGCTCCAAATAATCGATAGGTTGACCTCCTTTTGACACATTTCATATTAGAAACTAGCCCGCAAACAACACAGTGTGACTGGTTTACCTATTTTACTGACAGAAAACATGAAAGTAGCACAATATCCGGGAAAATCCAGGATTACAGTAGACGTTCAAACGCCAACACTCTCAATACCAGTGTCTGAGGAAAATCAACCGCCACAACTCATGTTCGACAACTTTTGTCATTGCAATTTCGCCTAATTTAACTGCTGCTCAAAAGCTAGAAAATGAAGCTACAGACGAAGAAATTCCTAGATTATCAATTTAAGCTCGATGCGATTAGGCGCGATCAGACATCATAAACAAATGACGAACATGTTTCACGCATTTATGACGCCGAACTCAAGTAAATCAGGGTATCAGATACGTTCAAAGTTGGTGATGAACATTTCAAGATATTGCGCCTTCATATTTCCAAGTTTTTATCAAAAAAGGGAGATTAGGCCAGTGTTTTCTGATTACCCACAACATACACCACCTTATTGTTAAAAAAGCAAAATGTATGCTTCCCCAGGTCCAGATACGACTCAATGTAATGTGATTTCCACTATTCAGATGTTTTTGATCATTCAAAGAGAAATAGGTTAATCAAATTTAAAGCTAATTTGGCTTATCTACTCCTATAGAAAAAACACACTGGAAAGATTAAATTACCAACACACACTTTGCCCCTACATTCAGATTTTTTTTTCTTAAAGGTCACAATGCAGTATCAGACCGGTCACATACCAGTCCAAAAAGGAAGACATCTTTTGGGAGCAAAAAAATACACATGCGAATGTCTCTAGTGTTTGGCTGTGGGGTGAGCTTATAGCCTAATGAATAAGTGATAGGAATCAACGGAAGCGATAAGCATTCCCACGAGGGACTGATAAAGAATGCGCAGTGGCCAAGCTGATGGGCGTAGACGGGGACTAAGACGCTCAAGTCACTTCCCCACCTCGGACTCACACGGCTGTAGCGGAGGGAGGCGATCGTGTACACGATAGGGCATCGCGATGAACATGTGCATTGAACACTATTTACGGACAGACAAGTAAACAACTAACCTACAAGTAACGGTCGCACACCCCACGGGCACCCTGACGTCAAGGCACCTAGGAGTTAGCACCTGAAGGGGGAGGGGAGCCCTGCACTTTGAACAAGCATAACTGCAATTAATGGGTCATACTATGGAGACATGCTGACTCACGCGTGCCAAACAGTTGCCACGACCAGGCCGAAGCTCGGACAGGGAAGGAAAGGGGGCCCAGATCGAACCTACGGGTACCTCCTTCTGCTTGAACTGGGGTTGACGAGGCACCCAAAAGCAAAGTTCGTTCAATGAAATTCGATTCTTTCCTTTCTGCTACAACTCTCATGAGGAGAGGCTCTAAACTTGTTCTCGTGAGAGCTTGCATAAGTGCCCTTGAATATTTTTATCAAAATCAATATGCAAAAAGAAGACTTCAACCAAGTAGAACATTGGCTTTTGCGCCATCGTTTTCTATGTCATAGCTCTAACCGATTGACGCAAAACATTCAAGCAGTCCTTATTTTAACAAATGGGCAAGACACCCACGAAAATCAGAAACTGTCAAAGGCATCTTGATGTCAAACTGACTCTGGAATGCTCCTTTCATTCCCACTTCACATCTCAAGCGTCATTCACTTGCTTGTTGGATTGTTTTAGCACTAAAAATGCAAGTGATCATCCTTCCTTTGACAGATTCGCCTCAACCACCTGGACATATCATTGTTAAGGTAAAAAATGCAACAAAATAACTAGAAGAGAGACAAATTGTAAACCCGGACGGCTCACCATGAAAACGAAATTCGACGTGCGTTTTTTGCAGAGTTCCAAAAAATAGTAAGAACGACGCCTTTTCAGGCAAGAGACTATTCACAAAATAAGAATTGCTGTTAGTAGTCTATGGGGTTTACATAAATCCAAGATCGGCCACAAACGGGCCATAATATCTTTGTACTGCAGCATTCAAATAAAAAGTCAATGTTTATTGCCAGGTAGTGTAGTAGTAGTAGTAGTTAACACAAAATGGCTTTCTCATTGGAGCTAGCAAAGGTCACACGGTCAAGAGCTGTAATGACGAGTAAAGACGAGGGCAATAAAAGCACTGCCTAAGGTCGGCCAACCTCCATCGTAAATATATATGTATGCACAAAAATAACGGAACGAATTGGTTTTTGCCGGATAAAGTGGTAGACTAAGACTGTGTGCGATATGAACTTGCAAACGAAAGTTGGCCAGTGTGTGAGATCAACACAAACAACGTCCCGTGGGGAGGGACAGATTTATAACGGACACGAAGATAACACGACCAATGTGGGAGCCGGAGGTGCATGGATAATCGTCAAATTGCCGGCCATGAGAGGTAGGAAAAAGAAAATTAGAAGCTGTCTTCCTGCCAGAACACCTAGAACAAGCCCTCACTGGGATGTGTCCAAGTAGCGCGTTAATAGCAAACCCGACTAACTTATCACACTTCAACATGTTATTGAGAAGACATGGTGTAGCAGTAGGGGCCCTAGGCGGAACTAAAGACAAGGAAAAGAGGGTGTGGAGGGGAGCACATGACTCACACAATGCGTGTGTGTGCGCAGTGAGTGACCGTAACAACAACCACGATTGTGTGTGATTCACCATATTTTTATGCCACCCCCCTCGACAAACACACCCACACGCGGACGTACCCTGAGAGTTTTGCGCTGTTCAGAGTCCCTCCCGAGGAGGCGTAGAGAGTAACCACTGATCAGCCCATTAGTGGACCAGGGTGGTGGAGGTGACCACATAATTTCAAGCACTTCGGCATTAGCACCCACCCACCGTGCCTTCACCTCCTGAGGTGCCTGGCTGGGCGTGCTATCGAAGGTGAGGACGTTAGCAGAACGGCTGCTCTGACTATACACTCGACCCAGAGCCCGGTCCTCCGAATACGCCTTCACTTCGACCTCGTAGCATACGAAAGGATTGAGGTTGTCCAAAACCATTCGGAAGGGTGCTGAGTCAACCAGATTCAGCTCCATAAAGCGATAGTGCTCCAACTGACTGGAAGGCGGTAGTTGGGCGCTGGTGTAGTCCAGTGCGTTCTCAAACAGCATCTGCAGACTGCAGTAGTTGTCGGATAGCGGGGCCATGCTGTCACCAGGGAAGCGGAGATCATCATCAAAAACTGTAGGGGCGTAGTTGGGACAGTGATCTGGCAGATGATCACGCTCGGTTGATGAATCAGTAGGGAGACAGTGGGTCAAAGGAACCGCATGATAGTGCACACGAATACCAGTGAGCAAGGCCAGTGCATTTGCCGAGCCACAGATGCGGCCTGAGAGTTCAGCTTCAGAGGTGGAGAGACTGGTGAGTTGGGGGGTACTAAAGAGGACAGAATTGATGCTGTCTGTGGGGTAGTTAGTGAAATTGACATAACGATGCCGTTTTTTTGTGTACACAGTGTGTTGAATAATGAGAGGTTTACCCACTCCGCGTGGACTAACGGTTCTTGCGAGGATTCGATAACCACTCTCAGGTTGGAGGCCGGTTATTTTCACTGTCTCGTTTGGACGGGCTTCAGCAGCCACTATCCATCCGTGGTTTTCACCAACTCCAGTGTACTCTACGCGTACTCGTATGCGTTCCACCACTTGAGTAGACGCTAAAACAGGTCCAAACTCGTTCAACGACTGGTCACTCTGTACATCCCCGAAGACTGGAAGGGGTGAGACTGTGCACTTAACAGAAATCCACGAATCACCGACTTCCACAATATCTGCAGTTTCCGGTGGTCTGGGGAGATTCTCAACGATGGACGGATGGTAGGCAGGATGCAGGGGAGCCCTGGTTACTTGAAGACTGGCCGTCCACTCCGTAGAGTATAAGTACTGCTGATTATGCTGCGTTTGACCGACAACTTGTGTAGTTTCGGCACGACAAGTGTAGTTGCCCTGATCGGAAAAGTTGATATCATTGATTTGCAGGGTGCCTTGTGATAGGAGCAAGATTCTAGGATCACTGTCAGGAGTGAATATAAAACCATTCTTCGACCAAGTCACACTGACACCATAAGAATTATGTTGAAGTCTTTCAGGAAGACCAGTGGATCCAAGAAGGTGTGCTTCACAGCGTAGAGTAGCGGTGGTTCCAAGAAGAACTGTTTGATTTTGCGGTCCTAATTCGATTACTATTATCGGTGGAGGGTTTGAATCACTTACAAACAAGTTCGCTGAAGATTTAACCATGCCTGTTCTGTGAGAGGCTCGGCACTCATATTTCCCTTCATCAGATTTTCGAGCTGAAGTCACAATCAGACTGCCCTCGCGATCAACAAATATTCGTGGCTTCTCAGTGAGATGTGGATTTCTGAAGTCCGGGTAGAAAAAATACTCACCATTGTGAACCCATCTGATGTAGGGACGTGGAGAACCACTAGCCTGGCAATTGAATATAGCCTTCTTGCCTTCAGCAACGGTAGTGTCGGTAGGAGTGATGGTGAAACTTGGGGGGGAAAGAACGACCAGTTTCGCAGATGCATCAATACTCCCAGCCTCGTTCTTCGCTTGGCACAAATACATACCAGCATCTTCACGTCTAACTTGGAAGATTCGAAGGCTTTTATCATCACGGAGGACACTGCGATCTTCGGGAATAAGTTGGCCATTTTCCCGTCGCCATAAAATAGAGGGCTTCGGATCGCCATTGACACGACACACAAACTCCACGTCTTCACCCACTTTCACCTGCTGGTTCGATGGAGTTATCTCAAACCGTGGCTTCTGATGGACAGTCAGTGTAGCTGCCTCACTTTCTCGTCTACCCGCACGGTTTCTAACTTCGCATTGATAGGTCCCAGCATCCCGCCGCTGAACCTCAGATATGTGTAGATCTCCATCTACCTGATTTATACGTAGGGAAATTTGCACAAGCTCTGCGTTGTGGTACCAATTTACGACAGGAGTGGGCAGGCCACGGGGGATTTTGCATCGCATGACTACGTTCTCACCGATACTGGTTACCTGGTTTTGCGGACCCTCAGTAATGGGGTCCAAATAAGCCAGCCGCACATTTGCATATGAGGACTTTGTCCATCCCTCTGAATTTGATGCATTGCAGTAGTATGTACCTTCATCCTCTGGTTCAAAAGAGAGGAACATCAGTTCTTCGGACTTGATTATTTTATTCGAAGTTCCGGGTCTTTCACGAATAGACTCGACCTGTTGACCATCCTTGTACCATATGATGAGGGGTGGAGGTTCACCATCTGCTTGACACCGGAGAGAGAGCGGCTGTTTTAGAAGGCCAAATGCATCTTGGGGACCGACCATGAAAAGAGGCTTTCGTCTGGGAGACATTTGATGTAGACAGTGACATAGTGGAGAAAGAACAAAAAAGACCACAATCGAATAACGAAATAACATCTTGCTATGGCTTAGTATTGAGTTGAATAGCCAGCACGAGAACCGAATACATGTGTAAGATCAAAAAATTAAAAAACAACACCGCTGCTCGATTGGACAAGGCAGAAAAACACCGGACCGTATGACCAATAGCATTTTTTAGACCTTAAAGAGTGATAAAGATAAACAAAGAAACTTGGCTATATTAAGCATGTGAAATTGTAGTAAATTAAAAGTAATTACAAGCAATCATAGTCATTTTTGGCATTTAATATTCAAAACAAAATGTCCTAAAATAATGTTTTTGCATTTATATTAAGAAGATGTATATTCCAATCGATCCAAGTCCTCCCTGAAGTCCTGAAAAACACAAGGAACAGAGCAAACCACGTATCACCAAAATTTGTACAACCAAAAGCACAAAAAGATCGTTTTTGCGGCTCGAAGGACAAATCGAAGTGTGGACTTACTCCCTGAGTACACTAAATTACCCTAGTATAACTATACATACACTCAAAGAAAATATCATACCAACATAAAAACTCTCCCTTCTTTT